CCGCAGACAGCCAGTTCCACAAGATAATGTTTGTGAAGCAGTATGACATAGAAAACAGTCTCCTATGCGACTACTACAAATGACATGACTAAAAGAGCTCCCTAGGGGCAAATTAAAGAGAGCTTCCTCATGCCAAATAGGCCAGAAAGCTTGGAGAAACCTGGTCTAGTGGAAGGTGTCCCTGCCCGTGGCAGGGGGCTGAAACTGGATGAGCTTTAAGGTCCCTTCCAACCCAAATCAGCCTAGCATTCTATGAAAAAGACCAAAAAAGGTGTAGCCATGCTGAAAGAAAATTAGGTCAGAGGCTGCAACATCAGCACAACTGCTCATGGTGAGGTACTTCTTGCTGAAAATATGAAAGGTTCTTGCATTTAGCTATGATTGCATACCCAGCCCACCACACTGTGGTTACAATTTTATTCAAGTTTTTGTTCTCAAGCAACTCTCATGGGATTTGAAAAGAGAAATATCCCTGTAAATTCACATAGCTATAAAAGTTTCACAAGAAATTTCAGTAATCTAGGAGGCATCCCTGTGTCTTAGACCATTACATGATCCCTCATTTTTTAGTGATTAAAATAAGCAGTTCCAACCAAAAGCTGGCATTTTATTAGAAGTGGGGATTTCAGCTCTCCCAGAAAATATGTAGCAGAGTTTTAGGAAAAGGCTGAATTTCTTAGTGTGTCTATCTTTCCTTAGCTTGGTTTAACGGTTCATTTTTGCCATTAATCTGAAAAAAAAAAAAAAAAAAAAAAAAAAAGAAGGCTTAATAACCATGAGTAGGTATTAACAAAGGGTATAATTTGATATACACTTTCTTTGGTATCATAAAAATAGGTGGCAGCAGCAGCTCATAAACAGAAAACTGGTAGTTATTAGAGCACTGACATAGCAACAAAGGTGAGGCACCTCAAACACTAATAAACGCTCACATTGTCACTGATAGGGCAAAATCTCAGAGCAACATTTGTGCTCCAGAGACAGTACTTTTAGTCCACCCCAAGAGAAAAACTTGTATTCTTTGATTTATCATCAGTCTGCTGTCTTGGCTGTATAAACATCGTTTTCACAGAAAGTCCTCAGAAGAGGGATACTCATCAGCCATGGCTATTAAGGAAGGATTATGAAAGGAGCTTTGAGTAAAGCTCATGGCTATACGTAAAACCTTGGCCTTGAAAAACCAAGGCCCTGTGGTGTGAGCTCTTGGGAGACATCATATTGACTGCCTAAGGCTACTGGCCAAAAAAGAGGAAGTTCAACCATGAAAAGAAAAAGAAATTGTGTAATGGAGGAGGGGGAAAAGCCTCTTATGTGAACAGATGCATCAAAACCACTGTGTGCAGACAGATGTTTTTAAAGTTGAATATTAAAAATGTAAGTAGACTAAATTGAAACTACATGTGATTAAAAATATGAGGATATTCCCCTTTACTGATATGCTACAATGACGATAATATAAGGTAAATTATACAAGTATTTTTAATTTTAATTCAGTTTAAAATGAAAAATGAAACTCATCAATTTGGTTTAGGCTTTTGCAGTATTATAAGTATTCAACTTCCAGATACAGTCTACTTTTGCATTTATTCCTACAAATAATAAGAAAACAAACACATATATTTCTAATTGATCTTGCAAAATGTAAACCCCAGCAATCCATGAAGAACTTGCTGGATACAATCACCTTCATGGCCTGAAATAACAATTGATCACCTTTTGCTTTTGTTACATTAGTGAAGAAACTGAAATTTTTTTGGCCACTTCCAATCTGTGGAAAAAACTGTGGTGTCAGAGATAATCAGAGCCCTGACACAAATTCACAGGGGATTGAGAAAAATACTCAAGAAAGAGCAGAAAAGAACAGTTTATCACTTGAGGGTTATTGTCTCCATCCCTCTTAGAGAACCTTCTATGTGTGGCATTTTCCTGCACTCAGTGTATTAAACAAACAGTCTAGTCTCAGTTAAAGTCAGCAGACAGGCAATGATGATGATAATTATTATTATTATTATTAGTAATAGTAAGTTTGTTCAATTACACACTTAATGAAGAATATTTTCAATGCAGCAAAACAAATCTAATGTTCATCCAAGGAATCAATGTTCCTCAATAAGCTTCCACCTCTGGCTGAAAGACAAGCTGCAGCTGCATCTGTATTCATCACAGCCACAGTGCAGTA